GAAGTGGTCCTCCAAGGTTGCCCATGGCCTGGTGCCTTACCTCTGCGAGAGTAAAAGCGGCGGGCGGGCACCGCGCTAGCCCAGGACGTGCCGGTAACAGGTCCAGCGGCAGGCAGGCGCCTGTCAGAGTGGTCCTTCCCATCTTTCTTTCAACCACAAGTCTTGGCCCCCACGAAGAAGCAAGAGCACCGCGGTGCTGTTGACCTCCAAGACCCCCGCAGCTCTTGCCTTCATGTTTCGTGGCAAATCTCGCAGGACTTTGGGAGCTCGGCGAATGAAGCAGGCAGCTGCGGTCCAGCCCCCCAAAGGTGTCAATCCAAGTACCTTCCAGGTTCCCTTCGTATGTCCCAAAACGGATCCCGAAGTCCGGGCTGAGATATCTCGGACATGGGAATCCACTCGCTCACCTCGGTGTCTGTCAGCACTCTAGCCAAGGTGTACCGCAGCCCAGGGCCAAGAATCGTATCGTTGGCCTCGCGGGGCCGGAGGGGACCGGAATAAGGCAAGGTAGGTGACGAACGAGCTGAGCGAGACCCTGGTCTCTTCAGTGCTGCTATTCCAAGGATATCGATCCAGCGCGGAATCCTTCGAGGGGGAGGGTACGAATGGGCGTTGTGCGCACTTGCGCGTTGCCCAGAGTAGCGTGCGTTGGCCGGAATCGCGAGAAAGCGTGAGGGACTGCAGGCAGGCAGCGGGAAATGGGTCGCCTAGTCGCCTCAGGCCCTGGCAGCGCAAGATTGGAAGCTGCAGCCTTAAGCTGCACACCATCGCTAGATGGACGGCAGGCACCCTTGTCGCCGGCGGTGGGCTCAGCGCTGCGGCCTGCGGGCGCGATGGTGGTGTTGCAGTGTGTCGCTGTTGAAGGTTACGTAAGGTAGGTATTCGGACCAAGGTGTGATGCGTTGGCAAGCAGGACCTTCGCTGCAGAACGTGTACGTAAGCAGGTGTACGCTTATATAATGAATGAGCTGATGCTGCAGGCAGACAGGCAGGCGGATTACCTAACGAGTCCAGACCACCCTGTTAGGTTGTTTTGTCGAGATGGTGGTGGTGGGAAGGGTTGCTAGGAGTGATGGGGAGCTGAGGTTCCGAGGTGTGGGAGCCTGGCGTCATGGGAACGGGTTTGGTCTGTCTGCGACTCGCGACGAATCTGCTGACGGGACCCTGTGCCGAAGTCGAGTCACTGAGGCCCCTCTCGCTATTTTTGACACTTTCGCGCTTGTAATAGATTGCTTACTGTCACTGAAATTCGCTCCATTCTGTCATGAGCGTGGAGAGACCAGGTCTTCAGGTGTCAATTTGGTGTCTAGTAATACCCTTGAATTACAGCAGATGGCGTGAAGGAAGTGACCCGTCGGGTCGTCCCCTGACATGACCGTCGAAAAAGAATAAGGAAGAAAAGGTCCCCTGAAAAGCAGAGGAAATGCATGCAAAGGACAGCCGAAATGTGTGACAAATGAAATTTCGTGAACGAAGGTCAGACTGCAATCTTCTCGGGCCATACCGCACCTGCAGGGCGGGATGTCCAATGAAGCATCGCCAGTCGAAGTCTATTGCGTCAAAGGCCAATCATGATAGAATCCTGCAATCTCCAATGAAAGCCTGCATGCATGTTAGACTTCATCTCTTGAAGATGTGCTTGCGGGAAGAGACTTACCACTCGGCTTCCTGTATCGCATATCCAGCCAGACATCCTCCCGCCAAAGAAAGATGATTACTTTCGCTTGAACAGTAATACTAACGTCTTCGCGCATCCATCAGAGATCCGCGAAATTCAAGTCAAAAACATATGTCCATCCCTCCATCCCCGATCCTGTCTCATTCGAACCTCGCATAGCCATTCCGACGCAGAATCCGCTCGTACGTGCGAAGCCGCTCTTCCTGCTCCTGAATCATGCACCGTTGGTCCTCAATATCCCTCCGAAGCCTCTTGTTGTGGTCATCGACAACGTCAAACTTGCGCTCCCAGTTGACGATGATTCGCCTCAGCTCCTCGACCTTGTCCGAGACGTAGTGCCGCGAAAGCTCCTTGACCCTTGCAATCAGCGCGTCGCGCTCCCTCTCGATCTTGTGCAGCCGGTGCCGCAGCTTCTCGACCTCGCGGTGGAACTTGCCCGTGTGGCCGCCGGCGTTCTCGAGCGAGCACCGTAGCGCCGCATTCTCGTCCCGGAGCGCCTGGTTCTCGGCTTGCAAAATGGGCACGATGCCGCCGAGCCGGCGCGCCTCGGCCTCGGCGGCCTGATAGTTGGCCTTCAGCGAGACGTTCTCGCGGGCGAGGCAGTCGTTGGACTCGCGCAGCTTGCGCTCCCGCTCAACGAGTTCGTTCCACTCATCGCGGCCTAAGTGGCAGCAGTCGTCGCGGCAGCAGCGGTGGTGCTGCACCGGCGGCGAGCACTGCGGCTGCTCATAACGAGGGTAACCGTAGTAGTGGTGCGAGCGGGAGCGTTTGAGAGAGATGTACTGTGTCCGACCGTCCGGTGCGGTATCAACGTACCAGCGGCGGTTAGACATATGAGTGGTGTGCTTGGGGCGGTGGTGTTTTGGGGGTTTGTCGCACTCGTTGCCCACTTTGGCTGTGGGTACGAGGACTGCGACGAGATTCGCAGTCTTTAAGGTTGTTAGGTGTCTTTGTTGTTGTGTATAAAGGCTTTCAACTGATGTTGGAAGCCCTCGGGTTGAAGTTGTGTAATGTATGGCTTGGGGAGCAGTGTAAGTAGTACGATGATGGAAGAGGGTAGGTTCGATGATACCGGGAAAGGGAGAGATCGCGGTACTAATATGGAAATCTGCGAGTAAAGACAGTAGACCACAAGGGCTAGAACGATATGCAGGTGATCGGAGCAGAAGACTTAGGGTCTAGGGACGAACGAGGATTCATGAGTCGACGGCATGGCCGCAGCGGGAAGCGGGTAAGGCTTGACTTAACGGGGCCATGCAAGGCAGCGCCCTGGCATAGGACTCAACCACCGTCCCGGGAGAGCCATACCATTTCGGACTGAGAGGGAGGAGGGCGCCTCAAGAATATCGAGTCATCGAGGTGCCCTACTCGAAAGAAGGCAGCGACCACGAGGCTCAAGCGCGTGGGCAGGAGAGGGATGGGTGCCGGTTCGGTGGCTGGCGCGCGGTGAGGTATGCGCGTGTGTGTGGGAGGAGTTTGGGGGCAGTAAAGTTGCAATAAGGTGAGCAGGTTGCGGACGAAGACGACGCCATTTTCTTTATTCTGCCCCTGTTGGTGTCGAGGACCCTTGAGATGGTGAGTAGCAAGTGTCGGATGTCATAATGCTGACTTGGTTGTGGGATGAACGAGGACTCAGAAGATGTGTGTAGCAGTCATGTAGACATCCTCACAAGTTGGGTGCGGTGAGACCTGGCAGGTCGTTTGGCCGCGAGCGCATGAGGGGGATGTCTCACGCGAAGGGAGGTCATTCGGAACCGGCTCCGGGGCTGTGACGACTTGACGGTCGCCCATCCCAGTCGTTAGGGGGAAGAGTCAGGGATTAGCGAGGGTGAAACGGAAAAACCCCAAAGACCAAGACGCTGCGACTAGGAGACGGTAAGTTTCTTCTTTCATGCAGCTTGGAAATAGAGTACAAACCGATTCCCTGTAGCACAGACGCGAGCGTTGACGTTTGGTGATGGTGTTGTTTAGTGGAGAGTTTTGGAGACCAAAGGCGGGATGATGCGCTGCGCAGGTGATTGGAGGGCCTCTACTCTGCCGTCAGTCCGTGTTTACACTGTCAAGAAATGCCATTTTGGGAACATCAGCACTGTACAGACCCTGCGCTTGGGCTCCCTCCACATTTTCTGCTTTCACTGGGTCAGACCTTGAGAGGGGATACGTACCTTTTCTTCTTCCCTTCAACGTCTCGACCAACACCGGTTTCTGACCCTCCATATCCCTCAGATCATCGGCATAGCCCCGACAAGGCTACCGTTTAACCACCCCGACTCTTTCAACCAGACTCAATACCGTCGCACCCTTCGAGGATTGTCCACTTCGCCTTGACTCCCTCCGACAGCGGCTTTCAACCCTCACGAGTCCGCGAAACGGTCAGGATGTCCTTCCTTCGACAAACAGGCCCTCCCTGTTGTGTCTCGACATCGGCGCCTTTGTGAGGCAGCCTGAAGCGTCCAGTATTTTCTCGACAAGACTCATAGCGTCTGGTGGCTTGATGTTTGGGTGCCCTCCGCTACCTGATTGGGACCAGAATGGTCTCGTTGCCTTGTGCGGATGGCAAGCGTGTGTTGGACTGCGCCGACGGTGTAAGTGGTGCGATGAAGACCGGTCAGCGAACTCATGCGAGATGAGCCACATCGCCGTCTTTTCCCGCACTGAACATGTGGCCCTTGCTTCTACTTACACGGCCCGAAGCTGAGGCTGAGGTCGAGCGCGTTTTCCTGCACTTTGATGCGCGACATTACGCGAAGCTATCACGGGGATCGATGATGCTTATTTTTGGACCGCAGAATGACTTGGCTGGTATTACTGTGCGTGAGAAAACGACTGTTTAGCTTGGCGGGTTGGAAATCATGTTCAATTGCCTCGCTGCCACGGGTACAGCAACCGGCCTGACGAAAAGCTGACGGAAGCCCTCGAGGAGGTTGCAATTCTTCATGCCACAAGTGGGTGTATTGCTGCTGACAAGGTTGGAAGGAATTAGAGCAGAACGCTCACAGCCTTCTCCAACTTGAGTGTATCTTAGGAGCAGCCCTTTTAAATAATTTGGGGTTACAATTGATGCTGGCACGAAAGACTCTTCTCTCATGCCCAAGGATCTATCTGGGAGCAGCACCTCCGTCGTATCATTCATGGAGACGTTTCGAGAGACCTATTGTGGAATGGTTGTCTTCCACAGTGGTCATCGACGAAGCAGAAGTAATGTTCAGGTCTGTTTTTCTGTACGTCTCTACAAAAGTTTGGAGCAAGTGCTCTGTTTGCAAATGACACCCTCCATTTTACCCAGAATATCTCTAACCCAAAGGATCATGAATTCCCATCCTCAAATGGCAGCGTTCACACCCCAAACGCCGCCACCAGGCCATCCATATCCATAATCCCCATTTCCATATCCGTTCCCATACCCGTTCCCATACGGATCACCGCCCAGTGCGCCTCTCCTGCCCACCCCCCGCGGCCCCATGCGGTTATGCTCCAAACAAATCGTCGGATCCTCCCCCTCGAGTTCCACGACCCTCGTGCACCCAGGCCGTCGGCACTGCGCGTGAGTCCGGCAAAAGTGCGTATCGCCCTCGGCCCTGAGCGGGCACTGCTCGTGCCGGCACGCGTGGCCATTGCAGAACGCCGACATGAGCAGCTCCGCGGCGCGGTCTCCGCCGAGCACGGCGTACATTGGGTCGTAGTTCATGTGCGTGCGGCGGTGCGGGCACGTCGGTACGGCGCACTTGTGCTGCGCGCAGAGCGCGGAGCCGAAGAGCGCGCGCTCGTTGCGGCAGGGCCGCCAGCTGCAGAGGTGGCTGGCGCAGAGCTCAGTGTTGTCGACAACGCGGACGTCGCAGCCTTCCCTCCTGCAGCGGGTGATGGAATCTGGACCGTGTTAGTTGACGTGTGTTAGGGATAGCTGGTGAGGGACACTCACGCTCCTCACAGTGCAAACCGATATTCTCCCCATCAATCCTCCGGAACCGGTCACATCCCGGCGTGGTACAAGCCCGGTGTCTATCACAGTAGTTATTATGCTCACCGTGCCTCGGACATCCCGGCCGGCCACACTGATGCTCCCGACAATACTCCCCCAACCACCTCCTCCACCGACAGTCCCGGCTCTTACACGTATGATCTTTACACCACTGCGCGCCCTCCTCCCGGTGGTCCCTGGCCCGCAGACAGCCCGCCTCGACACACGTATGCGCGCCGCACACCCCGTCCGCACTCATCGGGTCCCGGGCGCCGTCGCAGCCGCCCTCGGCCTCCCAGCGGCAGTAGTGCGCGCCGCAGTGCTTGGAGGGCACCCCGTCGGCGCGGACGTGGGCGAACTGCCGGCAGCCGGCGGTGTGGCACATGCGGTGGCGGTCGCAGAAGCGCGAGGGGTCGTGCGGGTCGCCGGAGGCGCCCGGGCAGGCGGCGAAGCAAGCCGGTGCGGCGCAGGTGTGCGAGGCGCAGTGGGTGCTGCCGCCGGGGGCGCGGGGGGATGTGCAATCCGGCCGGACGCAGCGGTGGTCTTGGCAGTAGCGGAGGTCGACGTCGCCTTGGTGGATGCGCTCGTTCTTGCAACCTTGTTGGAGGCAGTTGTCTGGAGGGATGTGTTAGTAGGATCTTCGAGGAGGGTGGGCAATGGGCCAGTACGGAATTGGGCGCAGAATTGGTATTCCTTTGGATCGTAGGATTTGACGTAGTTGGTGCAGCGTTGGCCGTTCATTATGCCGGTGCAGAGGAGGTCTGGGCGATGGTCAGCTGTGCTGTTGAAGCAAAGAGTATGAAGGAAGTGAGAAGTATGAGGTAACACGATGGAGATAAGGCCGTGAAGGATTGAGTAAGATGGATGAAAAGGGGCCCAGGGGTAAGTACGCTGGGTGCAGTATCCACGGCTATTGGTCTTCACATTCGTGCAAGCAGCGCCGTTATCAATCTTCTTGCAGCAGTGGATCTTGCAAAAGGGCGAGGAAAAGCGCGCGCCGTCCCTGGTCAAGGTGACTCTGGCATACGGGCAGCGGAGGCCCATGGGGTGGGCGAAGCTGCAGAGCCGGGCAAGCTCCTGCGGAGTCAGGCGTTTCTTCTTGCCGAAGGCCATGCTGGGCAATCAGGTTGGCAAAGAGATTGTGAGTTTGGTCAAAGTTTGGAAGCGATTTGGTCCAAGTTGTCGAGAGTTGCTTCAGGAGGCAAAGGTAAGGAGGCTGCTTGGGGATTGCGGGTTTAAAAACAGTCATAGGCCTCCTCAACCTCGCCAAATGTCGGTGAGCAGGCACCCGTGAGGCATTGCGATGATGTTACAGAGACAAGAGGCATGCCAGGAGATCGGCGAGGGGCAAACTGGCATGATGTGGTAAGGCAGCCCACCCCTTCGGCGGGAGCACGAGGGGCGGTGTCGCGTATGTGAGGCTCCGTGAGAAGTGATAAGACGCACCGGTCTATCAGAAACGGGCCTCGTGATTCAAGGTAAAGAGAGAACAGGAACTGTTGAGGCGTACGAGGCTTCTTGGGTAAGGTGATGTATGTTTGGCCGATTGCCCAAGGGCGGTGTGCCTCATGGAGGTTGTACGAGATGCTGATACCCGTTTCTCGTGGGACGTTGACGGGCTTTTCGGAGGAAAGATGAGACAGGTCAGATGTTTGCTCGACGCGAGATGGAGACAGGATGATGAATGACGTTGCCGTCGTTGTCTTCGTTGTCTTTGTCGTTCCTCATCGTCCAGCTAGACTTGATCATAAACCTGAAATTTCAGGCAGATGTGCTGTTCCTGCTTTCAAGAAAGCTGCTTCACAGAAGCTACTGGAGTCACGGTTAACATACTTATCCTTCCGCTTGCGCCTTTGGCAAGACCGGGAATTGGCAGAATGCGCTCGATCCGTCATTATATGAAGTCCCGCCGCGGATGGTTGGGTTGTTGGCGAGCAGACATAGCAATGGGCACTTGCCTGGACTACCTAATAAGCATCATCCAGAATGGATTTCTTGTACGCGTGATGCCCGAACGAATGCTGAATTCTAAAAATCTGTCTAGGGAACACTAATGCTCACAAACTTCGGCAACCTCTGCATCTAACAAGCAAGTGTACCACACCTAACCTGTAAACCGCAATCAGATGAACGGATGTCCAGACCATATAATGAAACGGAGAATAGACATCTCAGCATCCTCAAAGAATGCGTTGTAATGATCACCATTCTCGCCAATAAGCGGCTTAACCCGTCGATTCTCACAGCCATCCATCGCGAGTGGTTTGAAACAATCACCGAGAACAACCAGAGCATCGTCCCTTGATATCGAAGCGGCATGGTGAAGAACAATACCCTTCGCCTTCTTCCGTACTTCGTCATATGGGTGGTCTCGACAAACATCAGGCATGGTGCCCAACACATCCGCCGCGCTGACGATCGACTCCATCAACCCTCTTATATGCCCACGTTGGACAAAATCGTTGCAGAATTCTGATTTGCTGCCGTGAACGTCACGAATGTGTTTGTACCGGCTTTCGGTGGAAATCTTGGTGCGTATCTTCATGAGCTTGGGATGGTCCAAGTCTGGAAAGCAACCGACTTTGTAATTCAAGAGTCCGAGGAGTCGGCAGCAAACAGAGAGATGGTGACGATGCTTCACATTGGACTTTGAAATTCTCAGGATGAATTCGTCGACTTCCAAATCTAGGTCGCTTCCGATGACAACGAGCGGGGTGGGATCTTGTATGTTGGGTTTGCTGCTGATTCTCAGACCCAAATTCTGAATTTTTTCGGCGATGGCGTATAATCTTGTTTCAGTCGAAGCAGAAAGAAAAACTTTGCCGATTGATGGATTGGCTGTGAAAAGGATGGCAGTAACCGCTAGAAGGTTTATTGTGAATTCCCCTGTTATGCCGACGAGACCAAGACGGGTGCGGTTAGTCACGTAGTTGAAGTATTGATCTCGAGTACCGGAGGGAGCTTCCCATTTGAGCGCTTTGAGGTAAGCGTCTGGTATGCCACCGACGAGGTCAAAATTTGGAAGCTCGAGTGGTGTGTCACCAATCGGGCCAGACGTGCCGCCGACGAGTAGCTCTTTTAGCAAACGATTGGCCACCCGATCCTCGGCAGACCTTTGAGATAGGTCGGTTTCAAACACATCCTTCACGGCGGCAACCCGTTGATTGTAAAGCTTGCGGTCGATGTCAAAATGAAGTCGAGCCGTGGTAGCTTCGTTCAAAGAGGCCACAAGAGAGGCTAAATCTCGACGTGCTTCAGCTTCAGGTGGGTCAATCGAGATGGATAGTCTTCCTCCAGGCGTCTTGTCCACGTCGCGTGACACAGTACCTTTGTATTGAGAAACCTGACCATCTTTGTGTACGGCTAATGTGACTTGGGTACCGTTTTTGGTCAAATGGGGAACCGAGAGCCACAACGTCGACAGCTATTTTCATGTTATTAGAAACCCAGTCCAGATGGAGGCAGAGACAGACACATACCATAGCGGGGTCGGTAAATTTCGCATCCGCCGTCACTTGTGTTCCCTTTGGTTCGAAGTGGACTTCGCAAGGACTTTCAGCAAGCTGGTTCACATGTCGATTGATCCAAAGCTCTTCTTGTAAGACTGATTTTGTTAAGGCATTGAATGCGTTGGAAGCAGTTTGGTAGCATCTCCTTGCAGCGACCTTCTCGTCAGGTTTCTTGATAATTTGGTTTGTGTCGGGATCGATCACCCAATCGTGTCTAGACAAGGCTGCATCAGCTTAGGCTTCTCCAATATTGGACGACAGGGCAACATTCTCCATCGACGGAAAACGCACCTGTCACCATTCTGGCCACTCTGAGGTGAAACATCCATTTGAAGACCAAATTGAGACGATATTGCGGAAGAGTGACGACTGTCAATCACGAGATTGAAATTCTTCTCTCTCATTATGTCTCGGAGAGATCTGAAGCCACTGATCTTGTCGTCGAGTCCACCAAGCTCCAATGAACCTGGGGCTTCCCGCCTGAAGAGCAAGCTGAGTCCCTCCACAACAGGGGGGAATTTCGAACGTAGGCAAACCAAGATGTAGCTTCGGGGAGAATTTGTGTTGAAGAATCTCCTGTGGTGCTCTTGGGGTAGTGGTTGGGTGGTGTATGTCCAAGTTCCAACTGAGAATTCGAGTTCGATAGCCATCTTCTCCCATGGGTCATGTGGCTCGTAATGATATCTCTCAACGTTGTCCTAACGTCGTTGCAGATAAATTTTCAGTACGAGTCGATTTTCACCTGGGTAGGCGCAAAGGCGCGTCTCAAGTTGTCTCTGAAATCCGAAATTGAAGCCGCCAAGCAGGACTCCGTCCTGAGGGAAAAGGATAGCGCAATCGTATCCGACGAAGAAGGTTTTTGGATACGCCATTTTCCTATTGTATTGTCAGAATGCTTCTTCAGTATTTACTCTACAACTAATGCGATTTGTAGCTGTACGTACCACCGTCTTTGCCGCCAGCCGAGACGGAGGGAACTAGAATCGGTGATGAAGGATTGTCAAATATCTGACGTGACTGTTGAGGCAGAACGATGTTGATCTAAGCCCGTTAGCGAAACTGAGACTGTTGCAATTTGATGTGCTTCGTTTGGCGAAGGAATCCGGAAAACTGATATCGTGTCGCTAACCAATGGTCGAGTTGCAGATGGCGGTGTTTTGACGAGACGTTGAAAGGGAGAGACGTAAGAAGAACCAGGGGGGCATTGGGTTTCCAGGCTCTCTCAAGACCGCCCAGAAGGAAGGTCCAGTCCACAGCCTGTGGGCGCAAAACTATGGAAGGTGGTTCAAGGTGCAAGAAAAGGCGCCAGTAGGGCTCTCTGCCACCGTACGGTCCCAAATGAAATGTCGGGGTAGGCACTCATATTCGCCCGCCTCAGGTATCAACTCCACACCTTCCTCACTCAAGGCTGCTAGCAATGGCTCTTTGTCTTGTGGCCGGTGAGGTTCATGTCATGATCTGCCTTTGATTATGGAAAGTGCGATTTGATCCGAGAGGCGCCTCGCGCAGGAGTGTGCTTATCACGCCAACCTGTATCAGTGCTCCAATCACCTCGAGACGTGCTTGGAACGAAGGAGGTCCTCATTGAAAGGCAAAATTCCTCCCAAATCAGAACGACCTCAAAACCGGAGAAGGTATTTAGCGCCGTGGTTGCTTGCGCCAATCTCGCCCCCAACCTAACTCATCACACTTTCTGCTCCCTCTTGCCCACGAATTTTCCTGCAACGCAACTGAAAATCGCCGAAAGAACTTTTTTCAACAATTTGAATTATCCGATTCCGCTGATCGGTCGCACATTTTTCTCCCCTCCGATCACTGGTTCAACCCCGATCCCTCACCTTACCTTCCTACAACAACCCTCCTAGACCCACCCAGTTCTTGCAGCCCTCATCTTCTCTTGCCATCCTCTTTTTGTTTGCTTGGTGGTGATTGATCTCGACTTCCCTCTCAAGCACTCTTCTCATCGGTGTCGCCTTCTCACTTGTACTCGAGCGGCAAGATGCCTCGGCCTCCTCGCCTGCCACGCTCGTCGCGGCCACGCCACAACAACCAGAACCGACCTTCGGCAATCACGGAGTATCACCCATGTGGAATCCTCCGTCATGGAAGCTACGAAGTTATTGGAGGCCAGAAGATCGGCTTCCCCGACAGAATCGAGACTGACTTTGTCGTCAACCCTGGTGGCAGTGGCCGTGCATATGTCGGGATCCGTTTCCGCTTCCCGCGGCACTTGGAGAACCAGTCCTTTTCTGGGACTGAAGACGTATTTTCGATAGTTCTGAGATTCCCGGCTGGAACATTCTGTATGTCCATCGAGAATCTTTCTCGAGGTACCTTCGATTTGATCTTGCCGCGCGAAGAGACCAACGACCTAGCTATCATCAACCTCAGCCTCGGTGATGGCCAGACCGCCTCAGTCGATGGTATTGGACCGGCACTCCGTGAAGAGACGGATCTCATTGACAGCTACATTAACTTGAACCAGGAAGTTCAAGGCTGGAAGACCATGCGCGACATCTTCAGCCAACGTCAGTTTCGAATTCTGGCGAGGCGTGGGGTTCAGTCGTGTTAGTACTTTCATCTTCGGCTTGATACCTCTTTGCGAAACTGACTCTTTTACCTAGTCATCATTGGGATTTAAGCCGCTATAACCATCAGATTCCGGCCAACTCCAGTAAGACGCAGTATCCAGAAAGGTTCGAGTTCGACAACCCCGAAGATGCCCTCACAACCATGACCCAGTCTGTGGTCCAAGATGCGTACTGGTTTTACGTCGACGTTCGAGAGATCCGAAGCATTCGGCAGTGCGCCTTGTTCTTGAAACAAGGTTCTCGCTCAACTGAGGACACCGACTCCTTCTTTGTCTTGATGACATTGACACCTGATATTGTGCGTTTTTCTTTTGAAGTCTGTCGTTGAAGAATCATCTAATCCTGGTCCAGACGACTCGTTTCAGCAAATCCGTCAAGCGCATCACCAAACTCGGCCGCACGGTACGAATCTCGTTCAGAAAGCCCCCAGCCCCAGGCACAAGGAGAAGAGACGGTATGGTGGACAGAGACGATCTCTTCTGGGAGGGTATAATCAGACCGACCTATGCTGCCCAGATCAAACACAAGCACAGTCTGGTACTTCACGCAAAGCGCCCGTCCAACCCGGAATCAGCTGCATTTGCTATCCGCGACTACAAGATCAAGACTTGGTCACCAGAGTCTGAGTCAGACGACTAGATGCACGTCTGGCTCGATTTTGGTGACGGCACGAATGTCGCTCGGCGCCGTATCGATGCAGTCAACAACGCCCTCTCTGTGGCCGACCCAGAGGTGGAGTCGCCGTCGGACGAGATGGAAAAAGATTGCCAGGACGACACACCAGAGAGACTTTATCATCGAAAGCTTTATGGCAGTTTCCTTCGCGACTTCTTCGTGGGTCGTGGTCTAGGCAACACGCTCCTCAACCCGCCTATGATGGACTCTGGCGATGTTGGCACCCATGGTCTTAGCCTCAGCGAGCCGTCGTTGGTCGCCCCAAAAGTCGACATACTTGGACCAATCAATGCTATATACCGCGAGGCTCTTTTGGAGATGCTGAAGCCGGGATCACGCGAGACGTACAAATCATACCTGGAATCTGTTGTTCTCGGTCTCGTCGGTATTTTCGGGGAGATGGAGTCGTGTACTTCTGAAGTTCTCGCCGTCACTGCTTTGCTGTACATTGGCAACCCCGATATCAAGACTGTTCATGCTGCAGCTTGGAGGAATGAAGACGTCACCAAGTTCGCTCGCTGTTTGCATAGCACCGCCTCAACTGTTGTCCGGTCGATGAAGGATAAGCATACTTCGGCAGCTCAGCCTCACATTCCTCTCATCGTCCGCGGTTGTAACATTCATTCTGAGGTGGAGTCCTTTATCAAAATGATCCAGGGCGATCTCTTGATCTGGGATCCAAGGCATTGGAGCCGACCGTTTTCGCTCTGCGAGTGGCTTCTCAAGATTGTGCAGCATGATGAGTTTGACTTGGACCAGCTCGACCGTCCCGAACTGCTTGAAATCCGTCACAAGTGGAAGACCAGCGCTGATTACGTTGGCTTGCGCGCTTTTGTTAACCACGATATCGAGTTCTGGCAGGTCAAGGAGTTTGATCCTACTCACTACCCTGACAACCAGCCGCAGACCGCCACCCTTGCCGACTTTCTTTCCGAAGAGCTCACCATTGACCAGGACGAAGAAAAGGACAAATACTCTGCAAACTCGGATGCCACACTCAATGAGGAGAATGTCGAGGAAGAAGAAGGGCTTAGCGCTGAGGAGCAAGCTGCCAGATTGAAGAAAGAGGTCTGGCCCCACAAACTGATACAACTTCCCATGGTCGACATCCTGGACGTCGCTGATGCGCTCTGCACGACACCCCATGTATCTCGAGACGTTCCCTACGACAAGTTCTGGAGGTCCGCCGGTGCGGTCGTCTTCGACGAGGCCACCCATCTCTCCAAGTCAGACGCCGTGTTCGTGTGGATCAACACTATGAGGCCTTGTGCGATGGCCGGCAAAGAAGGCCAGACTCCCTGGAGCGGAATCGGTCCCTTCAAGACGCACGAGGACGGACCGCACAAGGGCGACTACTATAACCGGTTCGGACCCGAGGCCAAGGTCTCTGCTCTGGAATTCATGCGCACAACGGGATGGCCGTGCTTCGAGGCGGCGTCGTCGGATATGCCCAAGTTCGGTGAGGATATGAACTCGTTCGATAATGTTGATGGAGGTTGGTGAGGCAGATTTGTAGGTAGTACTCGCTGGACATGCGTTGGAATTAAGATGCGACTTTGTGTAGTCTTTTTTTGTTCGATAGATGAAAATGGCTGTCTGCGTTGAATGTTTCGAGAATCTTGCGTGACTTGTATGTTGTTTGAAGTGAGGTAGTGACGAGCTCGGTCGAGCGCAGAAGAAGTCTTGGATCGATTGCTGGGAATACCCCCAAGACGCTCGCGATCAATCCCGGCTCTACCAGGCCTACGAAAAGCGAGAGACTCTTCATATCATGAGCATGCATTCGCGTTTCACCAAGTGACGTCAAAAACATCTTTACTGCACTAATTTGCTGTTTTTATTCATTCCCTATCGCTATGCAGTAATCTTCTTATCCCTGACTTGAAGGCGCTTTTTCTCCATCCGTCGCGCCTACCCCTTTCTTCTCTCTGTCATTCGTGGTATCATGAGCAAACAAGAAAATCGCTTTTGGTGCCGCCCCTGCTTTTTCTTTCCCTCTGTAAACTTTTGTTTTTTTTTGGTTCTCCAATTCCCTCCCCCCCCGTCGCCTTTGGGAAAAAAACAGACAAATGCCCATAATACCTCTCCATATAATATAATTCTATAAAGAACAATCGCTCTTCAGAAATGACTGCGCTCTCTCCTCGCGCTGAACTTGCCCATGTTCTGGTATCCCAAAATCATGTATAGACACGCGCTGACGGGGTTTTCCACAAAAGGCCGAACATGATCCTGCGCGAATCGATATCTCCCGTATCCATGTACAGACTGCTGAAAAACGCATCCGGCATCAGATCTCGTTGTTGACGAGATACTGCTGAGTGCCGTTGCCGTTAAAAACCTCGTCGGTCAAGGTTTGCGAAGTCATGCTATAGTTGACGCTGTAGTCGTGGAGGATGTGGGGTTGATAAAAGTACTGAGCGTTGATTTGCTCGTCGCTCTAAGACAAGCTGGCGCTGCTACTGTACGCCTCGAGTTCGCGCAGGCTCTGCATAAGAGCTGCCTCCTTCAGGTCATCATTCTGCTGGCTATACACAGGCGCAGAGGCGTCGGTGGAGTACTGGGGGGTAGCCTCGGCCGGCTGAGAGACCTGCGGCTGAACATGCTCTTGCTGAGGCTGCTGATGATGCTGCTGTGGTTGTTGCTGCTGGTGCTGCTGCGGCTGCGGCGTTCCAGGTTGAGAGTGATGCTGGATGTGGGAATGTGTCGGGGTGTGAGGTGGCTGTGACAGGGCATGAGGTGTGTGGGAAAGCTGAGCTGCTGTTGCCGCATAAGGTGAGGAAGCCGGCAGTACACGATTGTGGGTTGGCGTGGCCGTGGCGGGTGTCGCTGGTGGCCCGGAAACAGCGGCATGTGTTGGCGTAGTAGCATGAGCGAGATGATGTGACATTTGGGCTGCGGACTGCGAGGGCGTGCTGGGCGCAGTAGCCGGTGTCGCGCTCGCGCGGTTTTGCTGAGGATGCTGAAGGCCACCGGCAAGAGTCATAATTCCTTGAACACGCGCCTGCTCCTCCTCTGAGTTCATGCGTGCCCTCTCTTCGGCCTCCTTTCTGGCTGCCTGGGTCGGCGCTCTCGTCTTGAGTTCACCGGTGACGGCTTGCAGATAGTACGGCATCTCTGAGTTGGTCTTCAGAAAGAAGAGCTTCAGGTTTCGTGCCTTGTCCTTGAGTTGCACCTGAGTCCGGTCTTTGAGTATGTTTGAGAGCGTGCCTTCAGCACCAAAGAGCGACAAGATTTGACTCCAGTGGGGGCCCTGGACCATGTCCAGACCGGTCATCAACGCCTTCTCCTCCTCTTGAGTCCAGGGACGTCTTGTTGACGTAGTTCCTTCTCTCCTCTGCTGATTGTTCGTCTTGCTGAGCGCCGCTTGCCTCGCTCTATCATAGAGCACTGCACTAGGCAGTGACTGGCTGGGGGGCAGCTTCTCTGAGTTGTCGTGCTGTGCCGGCGGAGGTGGCTGCTCGACTGGCGGAGGGTAGCCATAGTACGGTGACTGAGCCTGGGTTTGTTGCAAGTGTGAAAGGTACGTCGTTTGTGTGACAGGAGCAGCTCCCGTGGGCGTTGGTACTGTCGGTTGGTACGGTGCTGGCGAGAGGTTGTTGAGGGTTGTTCGGACGTATTCTTGTGTGCTTTGCGCGACCAGGGCAAGGATATCGTTCGTTGAGTCTTGGACTTCGGCCGTGTTTCCGTTCGTTGTCGGCGCAGGAGGGGGGGCTTCAGGTGCGGGTGCGGCGGCGGGCTCTGCGGGAGGAGCACTGGTCTCGGTCGACGGGACGGGAGGCTGAGGGTCGTGAGGCAAGCCATCGATGGCGTCGGTCGGGAGGTACTGTGCAACGAGGCCGTCTGTTGCCTCGAGCAAGGAGTTGATTCCTAGATCATCCAAATCGTGAGATACCGATGTGTCCAGGTCGCCGTTCGACATTGTTGACGGAAGCTCAATGCCGTGTCTTGAAGCAAGACCTGCCAGAGATTGCAGCTTGCGACGCAGGTACATGTTAAGTAAGCGGAAAAGGTCTTCATCTGGGTAGCCGATCTTGAGAAGAACTGTACGTGACCTGTCAGCAATGGCACAGAGAGAGACGTGGTCGAACTTATTACCGGTGTCTGGGAGACCCGAGGCGTATGAGATCAGAGCCGCCTTCCGTTCTTGCACAGCAGTGACTAGTGACTGCTCCTCAGTCGTCAAAGTTGAGCCCCCGTGCCTTGCGCGTAGCTTATCCTCCAAATCAGCAGAGAAAGCATCGGCAATTAGTTGGTCGACCGGCGCTGACTGGTCCGCTGTCGTGACTGCGTCAATGACGAGGTGCGTCTTGACAGCTACGAAGAGATCAGAAATCTCTTGCGTGACCGTGTCGTGCTCGCCACCAGGCAGAAAAACCGAGAAGAAGTGATCTTGCAAAGCGAGCAGCTCCTTTGAGGTGGAATCATGGTGTCCATCGAACGAAAAGAGCGCGCAGCAAAAACTCGCAAGGTTTGCGACTTGGACATCGGTGAGGTTGTCCGGCATCATAAGATCCAGCGTGGCAGGATCCAGGATAAGGTCGGTAGTCGAGTAGATCGCTCGCGTCTGTTGGAACAGAGATTTTATCGTGGCAAAGGATTTGGAGACTTCGGAGTCCTTCTCTTGTAATTGTCGGTATACGTCGTCGAAGACATGTTGCGACAGGATCACAAGCAGCTGCAGAGCCTGCAGACGGGGGAAGCATTAGCGGTGCCACCAAGACTGACGAGACCGCCACGTACAAAGTTTGACAAACAAGTGGTAGTTGTCCGTCGCATCAAGGCCAGCGGTTCGGAGAGAACAGGCGTATGGGACTCGGTGGATGGGGGAGGCTCTTGCGACACGGATCCAAGAGGGTCTCCGGACATGTCCACGTCAGGGACAGAATCCAGACCGTCGACCTTGCCCATCTCGTTGTTGATGTCCATCATGACGCCCTGAATCATAGCGTCCATGTCGAAGTTGAGATCCAGAGGCGGACCCTCATCGTCAACCTTTAACCTCTTGGACTCGGCATCTGGATCGTCTGCGCTCGAATCGCGGGGTCGCTTGAGTGGGAATTGGGGGGTCTCGCCCAGATCGGTGACAAGACTCGGGGATTCCTGCTTCATTTCGGGTCCTGCGACCAGGTCAGCGCCTTCCTCGACTGTCTTTTTGGCTGTTGGTGGTCGCTATCAAGGTCTCCGAAGCTGGTGAAGAAGTTCGTCGGCCGGGGAAGGTGGGAGGCCAAGGCGTACCTGTCGGCGAGTGCGCCTCCGCCTTTGGAGACTGCGCCGCCTCGGCAATAGCTTCAATGCCCTCCATGAGCATCTGGAAGCACGGAGACAGCTTTTCGGGGTGGTTTGGAGGGCGTGTAGCACCTTGGCGGGCGGTATCGTGATCTTTGCTGTTCTTGCAGATTGGGCGGAAAAACTTTTTGGGAGAAAATCCGAGCGCCGATGCCCTTATAATCTGCCCCAAAGAAGATGTCACTCCCGATACACAAGATCCTGCCTTCAGATGGGAAAATTCACCGCTTGTCGCCGGGAAAAGGGGCGTCGTGATTGGCCGGATCACGGAAAAATGAGAATGGTCTGTGCGTTCATCCCGGTCAAGTCACTTATCGCAGGAATTTTTTTTTTCTCGACGCCTCTGCCCCTCGGAGCCGCAGTCACCAACCCGCCGAGTTAAGATGTCAATCCCAGCCCCTCCTTTTCGAGGTTTTTCCGAATTTTAGTCTCCTAGTTGATGCGACTCTGTCAATGCAGCCTAGGACTTCTTATCCAGTGAATGCCTCTTCCCAGGCTCTAACCGCATATGGAGCTGCGGGCTTGAAGAGGTTCAGGTGAAGTTAATCCTGTCTTTCCTCATGACAGCCAGCAACTCCAATTCATTGCCATCCAGACTGAGATCTACCGTGACGTCATTCTTTGCGATTCTCATCGAAAGACAGATCCCAGTCACATGTGTCTTCCCAGCTCTTAAGGCGGCGAATCAAGATGGACGCTTACTGGCCCGGTTCTGCCACCCGAGACCGCCGGGGTCCTGGAGCTTCGCCCTTGGCAACATGAGAAGCAAACAGCTCTCAGGGTTCGAGATGACGGCTAACCGTACGTGATCAAGGGTTTTCATGGGGCAAAGCGTCCAAACGTCGTCCTACCTAGTCTACGGTAGCGTCGATGCTCCCGTGAGTCCGGCTCAGAAGGCCCCGCAGCTTGTAAGTCAGGCACCGTTTGACCGGGCAAGCGAGACATTGTATGCGACCTTCCGCCAGGCATAGCAGGAAGTCCTGCAGGTCAATCGGAACGACGAAATTGGGATTATACACTGCGCCATCGGACAGAAGCAGCATGTTTGTTCTCACCCCAGCTCTGAGTGCATCTCATCCCACTAGCATATACACCTCGTCCAATACTCACAGACACGGATCTTTATATACGGCTTTGATTTCAGTATCACATTCACTCAATCGCCAACTCGGTTGGGTGTCATATATTTCAGACGCCTGTTGAATACCACGGCTACTCTTCTCTGCCCACATACTGCCGTCTTGCTTGTCTGCGAACACGCTCTTAATGCAATTGACGAATTGGCTCAAGTTTGGCAAAACCGAATCATGTATTCAGCAAAGCTACTGGGATTCAAGCCTCCTCTGGTCGAATTGGCAAGAACGCCAATGCCAAGGCCTTGATGGTGAGCAATGCCGGTCCCACCAAACCTGGCTGGTATCAATTCTCCTCGTGCGTGTGGTTGCTGCCAAACAACATGAGATGGTTTCTAGCACAGGCACTGCTAATCGTGCCAACCCTTCAATGTTAACTCATGACATGCTTGGCGCTAACTCGCTAGCTGGGAGGGCAAGAGCGACCATACATTGCCGAGCAGAAGAGGACATCAGCTGGGTTTCCGCTGCTGGGGCGACTACATTTCCCACAGTCCCTGACATCATGTACTTCCCCATCCTCTCAATCATCTCCTCTGCTATCACCTCGGGCTATCATGCGGTAGCCCTCCAACCCTCTTTCAAGTCCTGACTTGCCGGGATCATACAAGCCGACATACGAGGAGAACACCACGTGCTAGGGGCCAGCGGCTCGGCAGACGCGTTTGCCTTTTGGCCGGCCCATGTAATGTAAGTGTTCATGTTTCTGATTCGTCGAGGACGTCAAGAACCCGAGCGGCCGGTTCGCATACTTATCGATGCCAACGTTGATACTGCATCCACCCTTGTCAGCCTAGGGTCAAATGGCTGGGAAGCGTTACACAGCGGTGTTATTCTAGCCAGCAACCGAAGTCATGGCCCAGGCAAGAGGTTCCGTTTGGGTTTGTGGCGTTGGGCATCTGCGGTGACCAGTTCCCGCATAGTAAGGGAGGAACTTCGGAGCCTCTCCCCAAGTGTGAGGGTCGCTTGAGCATCCGCACACTAGTAAGCATCGCAGCCATATCATGTACACAGCTTCACCTTCATTTTTCACATTGACATGTATGTACGTAGAAATCCCTCCAGTCGGAAGCTCCTTTCATGCCCGTGAGCGTCAAACACGGCCGCTGAAGAACGGACCCTGAAGTATGAACCCTGATGTTTCGACCGAACTCTTGTCACACGTGCACCTCTCAGGACACTCACAGACGTCCACGCTCCAGATCTGACAGGACTGCCGTACCGAGTAACATTGCGGCTTTTGGAGGCAGTCCCTCTGAATAAGCTGCAAATGCGGGGAACAAGGACAAGCCAGGATAGCTTCCGAACCCAGTCGACCTCTCAAAATGACCAATTCCAAGGACATCGCAACCCGACTATTGGACGGGACGAGCAGCAATAAGTATCATTGGCCAACAAAACTTGGCTTCGAGAAGCCTCACTGTTAGTCCCCACAAGGACAACAACGCCTGCAACCAATGTCTCGGCTCCTGCGCCGCCCGTCACGGTTCGGATGCAGATCGATTCCTCTCGGGTTCCGCGCAAGAAACCGCAAACTCGTGGAATTATGGAATGATGACCAAGCAGATCGGAAATCATCAGCCCAACCCGGGCCCGGAATTAAGCATGGCCAAGCATGAACAGCAATTGTCACATTGGCAATCGGAACCGGGCAGTTTATCGGAAGCTGAGGACGTGACGAGTCGGAATCTTGGCGCCGCGTGCCGCCGCCGCTGCTGCCGCTCCGGAGGGGCAATGCACGGCTAGCATCGCCAAAGGAAAGCCATGCGTGCACACGACACCAACATACAACGCAGGTGACGGCTTTCTTGCGAGACGAATTATTCAGGACATGACACGACAAATAAAGTTTCGAGGCGAGATGCTATTTGCGTCCTCTCCCCAGAAGAACACACATTTGGGGATCGGTCCTTCTCCGTGACCCCGTCCCTTTGCTCCACGCCCGGAACCCACGCGTTGGTGAGCCAGCCAGAGCAAAAAGAGACCAAAAAAGACTGGAGCTCCGTGTAGCCGTGAAACTGCCATCAGACCGAGCAGGTCCCCACAAAATCCCCAACAGCTTCGGCCAAGAGGGTTCGCTGCTGTCGAATGATGTCGGAGACAAGGAAGCGATCGAGCAGGGGTCTTCGGTAGGAGAATCTGAGAGGGAGAAATTGGGAGGGCGAGCGCCCAGACTTTTTTCCCTGGGTTCCCAGCAGCTGGGGGGCGAGGCGAGCGAAAAGGCAAGCAGTGGAAACTTGAGAAAGCGCCGACGCGGCGTTTGCAGGATGATAAACCGACATCCCCCGATGTTGGAGACACCCCTGTCGCTGCCCTCCAAGTGCTCTTTTTGTGCGGGGGAAGTCGAGAGCGAGAGAAAAAGGGATCTCGCTGGGCTTTGGGCCGAGACTGAGGCACCCGGCAAACAGCAGTAATGACGACCCGAGAGTAGCACAGCAGCAACGTGAGGAGGGGCAATTCACCTCGCGCCTCGTGGCATAAAGCACCGCAGTCTCGCCCGAACTCACAATCCGGTCGGCCTCTTGAGGATAGGCTTATCTCCTAACAAGATCACGGCTTGCGGCGTTAGCAAAAACCTGGAGAATGGTGGATCGTGGATCAGCCCCCTGGTGTCATTCCTCCGCTTCTCAAGGTAATCTTAATAGTAACCTTCAAGGTGCTACGGAGCACAGCAGCAGCATGCAGGCAGGGCCAGCCACCGCGACCACCACCAACGTGTGTGTGTGTGTCGTCAAGGTGGGTGGAAGAGGTGGGGTTGGAGGGGAAAGAAAGCGGAGGAACGCTACAGAGCCTTTTCATCCCGGGGCTGCAGACGGGTTTTGGCGCGGGTTTTGGAGAGACAGGCAACAGGGACAGCAGGGACAGAGCTTCGTCCCATATGCCGACAGCCTTTCTTCTGACTCGGAGAGAGGGTATCAGGCACTCAAGGGTAAGGCGAGTTGCTTGCTGACTGCAGTTGCTGATTCGCATCGTCCAAGTAATCCTGCGGGATGCTTCCGTCCATCCAGAACTGATGATTCGTTGTGGTTCCCAACATGATCTTCCTCAGAGTCTGGGGTAGTTTCTCTTCTAGCTTTGATAGTCCATTGCTAAGCACCGTAAGCAGGCACACTGCTCTACACTATCGACAACCCAAGGACCTAGGATAGCCATTGACTGCAACGGTATTACGGTCAAGTTGCGACGCGGTGGCCCACGATGTGCGCTGGTCCAGTCTGGTCTGGTCTTCAGTGCAAGCAAGATCAGCGCGGGAACCCGTCTGTTCCCTAGGTGACACACCCCCAAAGAGATGCACAGGGGCGGCGCATTTGTCATAGCGTGTCCTTCAGATCGAGCCCTGGCCAGTCACAGCAACTCTTGCCGGTGTCCTCAACGTATTTGCTATGCAATCACTCCATAAATGTGCCAGAGATGAACCGCTTTGAAGCGGGTGTGGCTGCTGCTTCCAGACAGACGAGCCTTTTTGGACAGCTGTGATTGGCCACTTCCCAGATGGAAGACGCAAGCTGTGATGGAGAAATGCGGGGTGACAACCGCCCCGAAGAGGGGTTAAGCGGAGAGGGGGAGGGGTCTGGAGATAGATGCCTCTTGATGTTGTGTGTGTGGCAAAGGTGCAGCAACGGCACAACAATACCCTATCCTGCTGTAGAGATACGCAGTAGGAAAGATGCAAGCCCGTCCAATTTCCCTTGCTCCTATCATGCGATTATGGTTTCTGGTTTCGACGACTAACAATCTGGGGAAAACGGGGGATGGGAGAGATGGGCTGGGCTGGGCTGGGGGAACTCAATTAGCACCGCAGTTGGGTGCCATTCTCGACACGCTTGAGCCGAACCAACAGGCATCATCCACACACAACAACTCGCTGTCCTGGGGTTTCCTAATGCCCGACACACGGGTCTCTGTTACTGTGGTTTTAACACCGAAAACCTCGTCTACGTAGTCTGGAGGTTGGCGCGTGGATGGAAGATGACCGCTCGGCTGGAGAGGCGGGATTCAAGTCGATGCTGGGCGTAGGGGACCGGGGGACTCGTCTCGAGGTGGCCGAGAGGAACAGGCGTTGGCCCGAAGCGGCGCCCACTATCCCCCGTTTGGCTGGCCCTCCCTTGCATGACGAGGCGCACCTCAGAGTCCCCGTCCCCCAGGCCCGGCTGCTGTGGGTGGCCCTCTCCCCTTTGCCCCTCCATTGCTGCGACCCCGGTCACACCCCAGGTCTGTGTGCTCTGTCTGTGTTCCTGTGTCTGCTGTCTGCTGTCTGCTGTCTGGTTGCTGTCTACACATGCCAAAGGGCCCAAAGTCCCCTAGAAATTATCTGTGTGCTCCATCCAGATACAGCATGCAGATGCGTCCCGTGGAGAGCCTGCGGCTGGTGCAGTCCACCCAGAGTCATTGCTTTACGTTGTGCGGCTTCATGGATGTGCATGTTTGTCCAATGTCCATCTGCGGTTCCGCAGACCAGGCCTCGGGATTGATTGTTCTGCACAACTCCATCCCCCCTCACCCTTCCTTAGCCCCCCATACCCATCCCCATCCGCACACCCTCCCCCCCGCCGAGCTACTCACGCTAAGGTCTATCCACACTGCCTTCGCCTCCGACATTGATGTCTGGCTTCGCGACGCTGAATCCCCGTTGGCGTCACTGTCGCGGACTTCTCTCCTCCCCCAGCTGTGCTGTGCTGTCCCCCATACCCCGCTTTATATACAGTCCTGTCGTCCCCAGCTCTTCCGGACGTGAACTCTCATCTTTCCTCCCTCACTTCTCACGACTCTCTCAACAACCAAACCCATTTCACGAACTTTTTTCTTTTTATCTGTGATACCTTGATACCAATACTTGTTTTATCTGTTTTTACACACAACTATCACAATGGGTTTGTCCGTTGAGCTCAAGACCCCGGTGACGGGCGCCTACACCCAGCCCACTGGACTGTATGCGACAACATGCCCTCTCTGACGCTCAAGTGAAGCTTTGGCTAACCTAGCATTCGACAGGTTCATCAACAACGAGTGGGTTGAGGGTGTCGACAAGCAGACCTTCGAGGTCATCAACCCCTCCACCGAGGAGGTTATCTGCTCCGTCCACGAGGCCACCGAGAAGGATGTCGATATCGCCGTCGCCGCCGCCCGCAAGGCCTTCGAGGGTGTCTGGGCTGAGACCACCCCCAACCAGCGCTCCCTCTACCTGCTGAAGCTCGCCGACCTCGCCGAGAAGAACGCTGAGCTCCTCGCCGCCGTCGAGTCTCTCGACAACGGAAAGTCCATCTCCATGGCCAAGGGTGACGTCGGTGCCGTCATCGGCTGCTTGAGGTACTACGGAGGTTGGGCCGACAAGATCGAGGGCAAGACCATTGACGTCGCCCCCGACATGTTCCACTACACCCGCCCCGAGCCTGTGAGTTGGCCTACAAGTTGAAGAGAGGGGCAACAACTAACAACCGAAACAGATTGGTGTCTGCGGTCAGATCATCCCCTGGAACTTCCCCCTTCTCATGCTCTCATGGAAGATCGGCCCTGCTCTGGCCACCGGTAACACCATCGTCATGAAGACCGCCGAGCAGACCCCTCTGTCCGCTCTCGTCTTCGCCAACCTCGTCAAGGAGGCCGGCTTCCCTCCCGGTGTCTTCAACCTCATCTCCGGCTTCGGCAAGGTCGCCGGTGCTGCCATCTCCTCCCACATGGACATTGACAAGATCGCCTTCACCGGCTCCACCGTCGTCGGCCGCCAGATCATGAAGGCCGCCGCCAGCTCCAACCTCAAAAAGGTCACTCTCGAGCTCGGCGGCAAGTCCCCCAACATCGTGTTCAACGACGCCGACATCGAGCAGGCCATCTCCTGGGTCAACTTCGGCATCTACTACAACCACGGCCAGTGCTGCTGCGCCGGCACCCGCATCTTCGTCCAGGAGGACATCTACGACAAGTTCCTCGCGGCGTTCAAGGCGCGCGCCCAGGCCAACAAGGTCGGCGACCCGTTCCACCCCGAGACCTTCCAGGGCCCCCAGGTCTCCCAGCTGCAGTTCGACCGCATCATGGGCTACATCAAGGCCGGCACCGACGAGGGCGCCACCATCGAGACCGGCGGCGCCCGCCACGGCGACAAGGGCTACTTCATCCAGCCCACCATCTTCTCCAACGTCCGCCCCGACATGAAGATCATGCAGGAGGAGATCTTCGGCCCCGTCTGCGCCATCGCCAAGTTCAAGGACGAGGAGGAGGTCCTCAAGCTCGCCCACGACACCAACTACGGTCTGGCCGCCGCCGTCCACACCAAGGACCTCAACACCGCCCTCCGCGTCGGCAACAAGCTCAAGGCTGGTACCGTCTGGGTTAACTGTAAGTTCTCTGCCCCACTCTACCCCGCACTGTCTCATGTGGCCCGTGTCCCCCCGCCCTCCCCCGCCCGGAGGTCTCGGACGGCCTCCGGGATCGCCGGGTCGCCTCACCACTTCACACAAACTCCCCAAAGCCTCCAAACGGCACGCTAATAAAGCGCCCCTAGGTTATAACATGCTTCACCACTCTGTCCCGTTCGGCGGGTTCAAAGAATCAGGAATCGGCAGAGAACTCGGCGAGGCCGCCCTCGCAAACTACACCCAGAACAAGTCCGTCGCCATCCGTCTGGGCGGCGCGCTGTTCTAAGGGACCGGGAAGGAAAGGTAATGAAAAGCGGGGACTTCTGGCGCAAATGTATACATGACCTTTACGTAACTGTGCAATACCAAGTTTGAATGATACCAAATAACTCGAATTGTTCCGTTGCATGCGTGGTGGCGGTTGTGAGGTTGTTGGGTGTTCCGGCCCGGCCGGTCCGGCGCCGGGTGGGTCGGGCACTTCGGACAGTCCCACTTTACTCGGCGTGTACCTAAGACACGGGCAGTCGCGGAAAGCTTCTTCCAAATTCCTGCTGCTAACTAATTGGAGTTTGAATATGACATTGTCAATCGCAAGGCAATCCTGCAACTTGGTTTGAAATGAATAAAACGCAGTGCCGGCACTTGTTAGTCGCACACGACAAGACACCACCGGGCGAGCTCAAGAGCAGCAGCACAGTGTCGTCTCGGCACAGGTCCAATACCTCCGACATGAGGGTTGGCCAGTCGCCGCGGTACCTCAAAAAAGCCGCGCACTGGGCACGCTGAGCCTTTGCAAAGTGTTGAGTGTCACAAAAGTACTAACTTGCGTTATAGGACATTGTAACTGTTGGAAGGCCGCAGCAAATCGGCCAGTTAGGATATCTCGGTGTTGGCAGGCAGTCCCAAAGTTTTGAATACGGTGTTGAGTCTCTGTATTGTGTACGCCTTGTGTCATGAAGAAAGACGATAAGGGACCATGACGAGGACAAGGACGACAAGGATGACAGGGACGACGGGGACGACAGGAACGACAGGGACGACAGGGAAGGCAGGAATGAGGAAGAAGGACGAGGAAGAAGGACGAGGAAGAAGGACGAGGAAGAAGGACGAGGAAGAAGGACGAGGAAGAAGCTTCATTTGCTCTCCATAGAATGAATCTTTTCCTATGAGTAGGAAGAGAATCTCATTCTAACTCACGATATTCCCCTAGTTGCCTTTCTTTACTAAAATGACCGGAGAAATACTTATGAGTAGATTCTACATTTTAGGAGCCCATTGCCATGCATAACGGGCTCTTCGTTTTGGCCTCTGTTGGTTATCTTGGGGGCATGGGGATGCAGAAACCTTAGCCTCTCGACCACCAAGCAATCACCACATGCTCACACAGCCCTCATTATCCCCATCCACCATAATAGCCAGCGAGATATTGGGAACGCAGTACGCAAAAAGCTACTCAACGCTACGTATCTACTGAGGGGATTGATGATTGCGACACCGGAAGACCCCAGTTGAGTGGCTGAGTGGCCGAGAAAAATACACCAACTTCCATGGCGTCCTTGACGCCACGTCATGTTGCCGTCTTCCCTCAGCTATGATTACAATGGTCAGCAAAACATTCTCGATGCGCTCTCTAAACCCTTGCCTCCTAGAGCTCCCGAGGCACACGTACTTCCAATTGGCTTACGTATCCGAGATGCCGCAGATTATTAAACCAAAAGCAAGTGCAAGAACGGCAGTGTGGACCGTCTATTTCTCTCAATCAGCACCTAATCTTCGACGTGTACTAGATATCTAGGCCCAAAGACAAGGCGTTGGAATCTCCTGGGCTGAGCGCAATGCTTGGTAATGGAACAGAGACTGTCTGTTTTTTCCTGTGCTAAGCTGACTACTTTTCCTGTGGCTATACTCTTTTTTACCACCTTTATTGTCGTCCTTATTATCTTTCTTGTTATTATCGTCATCGTCGTTCTCCTCCTCCTCGTCGTCGTTGTCGTCGTCCTCGTCGTCATTACTACTATCGTCTCCGATAGGGGTAATCAAATACACAGGAAATATAGCCGCGCAGACACAGGAAAAATAGGCGGTCTCATGGAACTAACGTGCTCCTTGGAAGAAATCTTAGCTTCTCAATAGGCACCCGAAAGTTACCTTAGCTTAAGGCAAGGCATAATACAAGCTTTCCGCAACGCAGACATACAGGCGGTTACGTCATGTGTGGGTGGATATTTAGCAACAAATCAGAGGTACCTACTTAGGTACCCAAGGTAGGTAGGTAGGTAACAAGTGAGGAATCAAAGAAGGAAGGAAGGGGGTCGGTGAGAACCGGTGTGTTCTTTCCTATTCTGTCCCGAGTGCTTAGGTAGGTAGGCGTCTTAGCGAATACAAGCGCGAAATTCTTTTTCTTTTGGTACTCTTTTCCCTTTTTCACCTCTCACACTTCCGATCGCCAACTCTGATTTCATCTTCAAAGCGCTTCCTGAGCGAGGATCATTGCACTCTACATCAATCCATTCCTTCTTGTCTCGTGAGAGACGCTCGACGAATTCGAGAGCTCACTCTATTCTCCTACCCATTTTTGAGGCCAGCACCTGCTCGTCTGCCTCACCCTTTCTTCTCTTTCTTACCTTCACTGGTCGTAACCTCCGTGTTCTGCCACCTATTACCCAAAATGGCTTCCTACGTCGCCAACGAAAAGTCTCACGCGTGTGTCCTTATTTTTCCAAAGGACAAACTGTTCATCGGCGGTGGTAGCCCATCCATCGGTCATGAGGGCGAGATCAAGACCGAGTACATTTGGGCGGCTCCGGCTCAGGTTGAAGCATATGCTGGCGTTTCACTCACCTTCCCCATCCTGCAATCTGACGGTGTCGTTGCCACTCGCAGTCGTTCTGCTGGCCAAATTCGCAATGTCGTTACCATTAAGCTCAAATTCTTCGCCGACCAACTTGATCTTCAGACCAAAGGATGCGGCGAGCTCCCCTCAGAGTACCGGCAATACGTTCCTGATATACATCAGAAAGATACAGCTTGGACAGCCATCAAAATCACCGGCCGACCCGTGATCGACGGTTACCTTTTGCCTTTCGCCGCTGATGAGCAATACGCCGGCATTCTGCACCGTGGCCAGCCCATCAAAGGCAGCATCAGTCTGAATTCACTCTGCTGCGGCACAACGGAGTTCATCTGCCTGGTGAAGGTTCGGAACTGGTCCGAGAAGGTGTCCTCGATCCTGGGGATTGTGAAAAAGCACAAGTTCTCGTACGACCCTTTCAGCAACAGGTATGCTCTTCCCCAAATGTTTCTTGTTTCATCAATTGCTAACCTCATGTTTCTCTCATAGGCCTGAATGGAATGTGGCACGTTTCAAGAAAGAGTGGGATGAAGCCGCTGGCCAGGGCCTTCTCTCGAATCAGCACCTCGAAATGTTCACGCACATACGATTCCGTCATGTTTCGACCAGCTTGGTTCATTCTGTTGCTGGAGACATCGTTCACCTCATCCGACAGGTCGAAGTCATGCGCGACGTTCCCATCAAGGTCCGCTACCTCCGGCTCAACCGAGATGAAGACCAGCCTGGCCAGCTCTTGTACGCCGTCATGCTTCTATCAGATGAATTCGTGAGCCACCCAGCTCTTCCTGTCGTCTCTGCCCAGTGACTAACCTCCCTCTGCAGCGTGCCAAGTACGCACAAGCTCTGCGTCGCACAGCCCAGCTGGGTGACTCGGTCGGCATCGCGTTCCAGCCCAAACCAAAGCCCATAAAGCCGAAGGACCCCGTGCCGGATGATTTCAACTACTGGCCAGGAACTGTCGTCAATCCGTCTGTCTCGAAGCTTGACCACACAGGCAACTTCGTCCTGCTTGTGCAACGCCCTGAAGCTACCGAAGAGTCTGGAGACGCCGATGCCAAAGATGAGCTGCCATTCAAATTACACAATACTTGGGAAGACACAGGCGACACCTAGGAGACCGCCTTCCTCAAGATCGATCTGAATCTTTCGACATACAAACGCCTCGTCGATGCTGTTCATCGTCTCTCATCTTGGGACAGGCTGAAGAACGAATTAGAGTCTGACATAGCCTATGACCCAGCGGATGTCTTGAACATTCCGCTTCCTGACCCCGATCGCGTTCAGTCAGAGCAGCCCGAAAATGCCGAGGATGCTATCACTTCTGAGCAGTCTCTCACGCAGACTTTGGTCATAGAGCGGCTTGAATTCGAGCAAGAGCTGCAACAGCAATACATTCAGGGAAACGGCCTCCGCGGTTTGGTGTTTGGCCCGCGTCGTCACACGCCTGCTCAGCCTCTATCTTCAGCCTCCAGCCCTCGTACCGGAGCTCCTCTTTTTACAGATCAGCTGTTCGCCTCCACAGTGCAGAACTTTTACAAAGATTGTGTCTCCAACCCGATCAAGCCGTTGGCACCAAGAGAGCACGGCACCATTCCAGCGATCGACTTCCTTTCGACGAGAGATGAGCGGTTCTGCGAGCTTATCCTATCTCGCTTGCGTCCGGTCGCACGTCAGCGACTCGAGAAATATCTCAAAGCTGTGCCCCTTGGCATCCTGATGGTCACTGGATTTCCCGGAGCCGGCAAGACTGATGCCATTTCTACACTTGTCAACATCCTGCTTGATCATGACGATTTCGATAAGGTGTTTGTGTATGCCAGCTCCAACGGTGCAACCTCCAACGTGTGCAGCCGCATCGACAAGCTCAACCGACAATTCGTCGATGAGTACAACAAGAGCCTCCCCAGCCACCGCCACCGCCAATAAGCCGTTGTCATTCGTGGCCACAACATCCAGATGGAGCATGTGCGCATCCTCAGCACTGTCAACGACGCCTTCAACTGCACTGCGCATCACAACTCACAGCAGCCGCCCAGGTCCAAGCGCGTGTTCCAGATGCCATTGTCGGTCGCTGAGTGGGTGCTCAAAATTGTTGGTTTCGGGAACTATCGACTCAACACTGATGACTCTGGCGAGCTTCACGATCTCCGCCTTCAATATCTCGCCCTTCCGGCATATGATCCCTTGCGCCCCTTCTTTGCTGGTGGGAAGTCTTGGGATGACATCGTCACAGAATGGGAGACTACCTACCCCGATCCAAACGATGCAGACCTGATGCGGAAGCCAGACAACCTCCTCAGCAATCTGATGACCAGCCTCATCTCTCGTGCTGACGTCCTAGCTACAACTCCTCACGTCGCCAAGGACAAAGCCTACATTTCTTTCACTCGGCAGATCGCCAAGGCCAGTGTTCTTGATGAAGCTGGCGCCATGAATGTTCCCCAAGCACTCCTAGGTTGGCCAAACTTCCGTGCCTGGCTCCTTGCTGGCGACGAGCGCCAGCTGCCACCAACGGTCATGACGCTGCATGAGAAAGACTCGTCGGGCAACTTCGTCAACAAATTTGCTCGTCACCTTCGCGTCTCTGCCCTCGAACGTTTCCGTCGCATTGGTTGGCCCACCTGTGTGTTGAACGAGCAGCTGCGCATCGTTGACGGTGGTTTCGATCCCGCATCCGAGGTACTCTATCCCGATGTGAGCGACTTCAGCTATGCCCACAGTTGTGGCATTGCGAATCGTCCCAAGGCTGTTGCTGCAGAGAAGTGGGCGATGTCAAAGTACAGAACCATCAAGAGCAAGCAGCACGAGGGCAAAATCCAGCCGGTCTTCATCCATGTTCAAGGTCGATGTAAGGTTGAGGACTTCACAGCTTCGCGCTACAACATCCAGCAGGCCGACAAGACGATCCAACTCATTCTCGAGCTGATCAACGCATCCAATGGCACGATTGATGCAGAGGACATCGGCATTATCTCCCCTTATGCGGCCATGAACAGGAGACTAGAGTCGCTGCTCGAGGGGGAGCCAAGCCTCGACAGGAAGGTGACGGTCCACACTGCCGATACATTCCGAGGCCGAGAAAAGCCTTTCATTTTCTATGTCCTCACTGTCGAGAGGGAGTCCACCGTCGGCTACGTCGCCTCGCGACAGCGCTCCGCTGTCGGTATCACCCGCCATACTGATGGTCTTTTCATCATCGGCGACATCGAGACAGTGAAGCCAGAGGATGCCAAGAAGAAGACTGTTGCAGTGACCAACGACGATGGCGAAGTCGAAATGATCGACCTCGGTCCCTTCTCTCGACTGCTGCAATGGTTCACCCGCGAGAAGTGTGTCGGTCTTCCATATGACGATGAATGGCAGCAAGTCAAGCCAGCCAAGAAGGATGAAGACTATGGCCTTGTGCTATGAAGAAGGACGATGAGGGAAAATGATGAGGACGAGGACGACAGGGACGACAGGGACGACGGGGATGAGAAAAAAGGATAAGGAAGAGGGACTTCTTTCGAGACTTCATTTGCTCTCAATAGAATAAGTAGGATATGGAATTTGTTCCTATGAGAGTCTCATCCCAACCACTGATATCCCCTTGGTTTTCCTTCTTCACTGGAATAGCTGAGACATACCGAGGCAGCTATGAATGACATGGAAAATAAGAACCTTAAAGACTTGGGCAAAACACTAACAAACTGCAGCTATGAGACTAAGTCATCCCGTCAGAAACCATATCAAGTCACCTTCAAGCTTAGGTCTGCATAAAGTCATGGCCCCTAAACTAAACGTCGGGTTCTGCTCGACTCAGGCAGAGGAAAGGGACATGCTGAGTTAGAATCACTCGCTGGCCTTGAAAGTGCAGCTCAGGTCATATCTACACGGTGTTCTGGCACCATCAGCGGAGTCTCAATCCCGACGCAAAAGGGCTTACCTTTGCCGTGTCCAATTCACAGCAGCCGGGACTAGATTCGGGACTGGATCAACGCGATGCTTTCCCTGAAGTTCTTGGCCGTCATCTCGCGGGTGCGAGCACTCGGCGTTGTACTCCTCCGGCTAGTTGTTGGACAACCCGATTTCAACGCGGGGCTTCTCAATGAGTACTGTATAGGCTGCGCATTAGTAGCCACGGCAATTTCACTCTGGTATAACTCATGTCTCAGAACATTTTCATATCGTTGAGCCGGCCAGCGCAATCTAAGTTGACGATCCACTAGAGCTACCATTCGAGGTCGGAAGTCGCGAGCGAGCGACTTCTCCGGCTGAAGAGCGATTGATACAGAAGTGCACCGGCGATTCATGACAAGACTTCACGTATATTCGGAGAATAAATAGTTGACAGAGATGAATGACGCCAGATCAGAGATATCAAAGACACAACACGTCCACCCACTCATTCGACATCATTTTCCCGGTATGGCATATCTCATTAGAAACGCTTTTAAAAGAAACTGTAGGATACGGAGTAATTGTGTCTTCCATAGGCTTTTCGAGCCGAGCAGACCGTTTATATAGTCATTCGATCGAGCTTGTCTGCCAAGATTCTCATGCTCCCGCTGCCTGCTAGCACTGACATGGTTTAGGGACAGTGTACCGTTGTCAACTCGACCATTGACGATCTCGCGGAGGCTGTACTCTCGACCTACTCATTGTAAATTGCCAGATTATACCGTATATAATGTTGAATTCGTTCCTCGACGTTAACGTTCTCTAAAAATGATGTAGTTTTTCGGTATGTTCGCATGAAACCCACCACAAATGTTCGCTTCGAACGTGCCACATAGCTTCAGCGGCGTCAAATGGAGGTTATCGAACTCTGAACCGATTCTGTGGGTATTCGGTTGGAGATACAATAATACGATGCCGGAAGTGATAGACGAGGGTGAGCTCTGTTCGTGAGAAGAACTTATGCCGTCGGGCTATTGATCTTGAGGCCAGATAAGCGATAGCTTGGACGTGTAGGAGTAGTCACAGGCTATAATAGCGATTTTCTTGTATGAATTTGATTTCCTAGGCCGTTACTAAATCTTGCGAAATGGCTAAGCTTATATAGATGTTCAATGAATTTGAAGTTTCAGCAATATATCGAACGTTCCTGATAGCTTCCAAGGTACCCAGCATATAGAAGGACATGTTAGTCGTCTTTGAATCTGAATTTCAGCATGATGTCCTCTCAGTCCGTGTATTGGAGAGCTTGGGTAAAGCCATCACACGCCGTCTGTAAGCCCATGCCAGTTTTTAACGCCCCTCGAGACCGTGATGACTGTCGACCAGCCACAGCGAGGATTTGAATATTCATAGGAATAATTTGACGTGAATGGCTAGAGACACCAATGATACAAACATTGTGAGGTCTGGAGAAGATTTGGCGATGCTGGTGAGCCAGCGCATTGAACACCGTCCTCGAGCTTATCAGGCCACCTTTCCTTCGCGCGTTATGGCCAAATAGGTTCATTTGGTTTGCTCTGTTGAGTATCATTCTTTCTGGTACGATGTCTTTTATAAGGCGAATGGCCGAAGCGACGGTTGACGGCAGAAAGGTATACTCATGCATGGGCGCCAGAGCCCGCCGTATAAAACGCTTTGCCATTCCCTTGTTGAGACTTTCTAGAAAAGCAGAGATTTTGCTGGTGTTATGATGTAGGCAGCAATCCTTGGTCAAGTATCGAACAAGAACCCGATGAAGTCTCTGCCAATCTAACATGCTTCGGGGCGTCGAGGTTGGTACCATTGCTGTCTCTGTAGTATTCAAGCGTTCCATCATAAGAAAACCGCCGGACGCTGACGTGTCCGAAGAGATTTGTTGAATCTATCATCTCACGAGCACACCTTTGTGGCTTAGTGCATGCGAGTGATGATGCATGTCTGGACCAGAGAACTATTGAAGCCGATGCCCTTTGTGATTGTGTTGCTGCATTGAGCCTAAAATGTGACGGGTAAGCTTATTATATGGTTCCCCTTCCGAATGAAGGAATTTGTCCAAGTGCTCTCTATATCTGAATAGAATGGCGCTACACAATGAGATGAGATGAAAAAGGGGCACTCGACCAGCTCTGGAGATTGGCCCCCGGCGGTGTATTGTGAACAACACGCGTCAGAAGACGACGAACAAGCCCCCGGGGACGTGAGCATGCATTCAAGTTACAGGTTCCATATCAGCCGGGACATCTGATCCTGAGACAGCTCGGTAATGAGTGTTTGCGGGCGAGGTGAGCCCGGGACAGCAGGTAACGTCCCGCACCCACTTTCCGGACACCCCCTCATTCCGGACACCCAAAAATTATGCCCCCATATATCAACGCAGTAACTTAAACCTAGGACTTCTGCTATTCTGATGCAACTATAATACAACTTTCGCTATCACTAGGGTTTTCAGACTCGCTGGATTCATTTATACTATTTTCAAGTTCTCCCGCCTCGATTTGAGCCCTCCGAATAGCCTCAATATCAGCAAACTTCGAATTTGGGCTCATTTTGACCTTCTTGCGTTTCCTGGCCCTACTGGCATCAACCTCTGCTTGTAATGCCTCAATCTTTCGCTGGGCTACTGCCAGTTGGTATGCCTTCTCATCAAAGCCCTTCTGAACCTTCCGAAAAAGCAGGCGTTGCGTATGCTCATCGTTATCCAGCTTGCTGAACAGGCTGAACTGATCCTGAAGCTCATCCCTCTTCTTGGGGGTTGACCAAGGGACTGCTGATGTATCTGCCGCCCATTTTTCGCTTGCTTTGCCATCAGAGAGCCCTTTGCAGACCTGACCAGCTGGTTTGGCAGGGGTTGAAGTGTTCTCAAGCAGCAGAGGGCTCATGAGGGGTCTAGCCATACTGATAGGCCACAAACCAGTCCATTTCCAGCCACTGATGATATTCTTGCTTGTCAGGGCTGCCTTACGCGCCTTGCCATAGCATACAACGAAATTTCTCTTGCCCACAACTGT